CAAAACAAAATCTATATAATATGTATTAAATATACTAAGTTATTCAAATTGTACATTCCATAAAATATAATGGTGATTGTTTACAAACTAACAGATAGAATATTCATGTTTGTGAAACATTAAATGTTATYAACTCTGTATACTAATATGCAGCAGGTTATCCATAGTATATTAATACATATTTTAAATTTTAATAAAAAATAAAGATAGAAAACATAATTACCTAATATATGTCAACGAATTTCAAAAATTAATTTACCTTTCAAAATGTTTAACATACAATAAAAATGCATAAACAAAGTTCTCGACATTCCAAACATATAAATCACGACAATTATACAACTCATTGATGCATTCTATATTGAGAATTACGTCCTTTAACAGGAAGTGGATGAGCTTCTGAATTRAATACCCATTTATCCAATGGAATTAGGTTATCATCACTGAATAATAGGTATAAATACTAGAACATAATTTATAAATAAGTAAAATTATAATTGTTTTATTTTATCTAAATTAYTAATCAATATAACATACTTTGAGAGTTTCTGCAAAAAAGTAACTCTGCTGAACATCATCTTTAATTGAATCTATTTGATAAACATCTTTAATTCCACTGTATCCACCTGATACTCTACAGTGTTTTTCAAAAGCCTTAATACAATAAAACCAAAATGTATTAAACCATGTTAAGACTGAGACTAATAATAATTATCTATTAGCACTTTTGCAGTCATTTGAAAAAGTAAAATGGCTCTTACTTGTACGGCCTCCCATCCCCATTCTCGATATTTATTGTCATGAGTTAATCGCCATAAAACAAAATATGAYTCAACTGTTTCAGGCCGAAGAATATTATATTTTTCAGTACCACGTACTGCGACTGCTTCATAATTATCTGTAAATCTAAAAGCTTCAGGCCCTAATTTTGTAGCAGTTTTATCATAAGCTGCATGACATGTTTCTGTTAAACTAGCTCCAAGATCAGTATAGTGTTTAGATGCATCGCTGCCAAGAGTTTCACCAGCAAGTGCAAACATTCCACCTGAAATTACATAAGCATAAAATTAAGTTTTTATTAATTTTTGAATACAATAATAAGCTCTAATTATAATYGTCCATGTATTATTTGAGTGTTCAAAAATTTAAGCCATTATAGTGTTTTAGACTTCATACATTTTATTCAATAAAAAATTAGAAAATAATTTATGTTTAAGAAAATTTAGTGATAATTTGTATAGATTTAGTAAACGAAAAAAGTAATGCTTTAAAAACTTCATAAGACATAAGAATTTCTACAAAATACTTATAAAATCTAGACAAAACTGAGTTTTTAACGACCMGGTGTTAAGTAAAAATCAACTATCATGTTTAATATTATTTACCTGCAAAACATGATAAGTGGTCCATTTTATGTTCAAGTCGATCAAAACGCATGTCAGCTAAATAAGTTAGTCCAGTAGAAGATGTTTGTACTAGGTTATCCATCACACTTGCCATGGCATCATCAAACATGTCACGTGCAATTAAATCTTTACCATTAGATTGTATATACGCTTTCAGCAAATATTCATAAAAACTATCACCAAGGCCTCCTAATGATACATGACCTGAAATTATACAATGCAATCATGAATAATATGTATATAACACATTATGCACAGGTAGATTGTAGATAATATGATAAATATTAGCTGTAAAAATTTAGTCATGTCATAATTATTTTATATTCAAAAATATGTAAAAGACAAACATCTGTAAAGTTAAATAGTTTAATTTTATCCGATTTATAGTTTTAAAAATAATGCATTTAAATGTATACAAATTACAAAATATGTCACGTAAATAATAGTACATTTTAAGTTTTTATAATTGATTGCTTGTTATGTATGGTTCCTGATAAAACAATTATAGTTAAGTATAGGTAAAAATTTCTGATTCAATTCTGCTTATTAATTGTCTATTTACTAATTATTTCTTTTTTTATGCAATCTGAAGTGTCAAACTGTCTTTTGATTGTAGATATTAGTTTGAATTACATTTAAATTATAYATTTTTAACAAGGTGATTATTTTTCTTAGACTGAAGACACTATGAATACTAAATATAATAATAAGAAGATAAGCAAGTATATATAAGATAATATAAAATAAACCCAACATTTCTAAATTGTATAAAATAATTGAAGATAAGCAAGATTTGTTTAAGATTGTTTATTAAAACATTAATATTAAGTGAAATATGTTGTACTCAGTAGTATAGTCTCAATWAACCAAGTGATGATACTCAATTAAATATAATATTATATAAAATATTCATGCCAATTGCCAATTTACTAAGCATGTTCACTGTTCAAATAA